ACTGCAGAGTTCCTGCAGGTGGATTCACACAGATGTGAGTTTTGATTTTTGGATTTATTCTTTTTAAAAATTACAATTAAATTCTTTCTCACTCTGTTGCTTGTTTCTGCTATTAAAATGATTTTTTTTAACTACATACAGCGGACACAACGTTCCAGTCAAAGAGAAGCGCCCTCCTTGCAGCGCGCCGCTGTCTCTGGAGCAGAGTGAGTGCTCACGAGCAGATCAGACGCCTGGTCCTGTTGTCAGACGATCCCGCCTCTGAAAAAGTTTGTTTTTGTTGCAGGGCGTGTCTTCGTCACTTACGAAGCAGACAACGACAAGCATGTCAACGAGATCATCAAATTTGTGGCTCTGCTGCGGCACAACGGCTTTGACACGCACGTACGTGCAGCTTTTAGTCTTTTTGTGTGTTTTGTTTGAGCAACTTAAAATCTCAGGAGCTGGAAAAAAACAGTTAAAATTCAGCTGGCTAGATTTTAACAAACATTAAAAAAAAACTTTGTCATTGTAATACTAAAGTTACAAATTTAGGTGCAATTATTATAAATATAGTATACAATAAATAGCTTATTAAATAGCTTACTGTATATCCATTTAAACAAGTGATTTTTGAACTAAATTGTGATTCCTGCCTATTTTTGTAATTTCCTCCCAGAGTGAATGCTGGATGCTACAGATGAACTTTTAGTCTAGACTCTCATCAGCTCATCACGTTACATATTTCTTGCTTTCATTTTGTTGGTGACTCTGAGTTTCTGTTAATATCTTACAAGTTATTTGTCAGCTTGTCCTGTTAACTGGCTTTACACAATTAAAATGTATAAAGAATTTGTGTGTTTTCTGCGCAGGGTTAAACTGTCTGACTCGCAGCTTTGCTTGTTTCAGATCGACATTTTCGAGCAGCAGTTCAGAAGCATAAGCAAGATTGACTTCATGGAGCGATACCTGAGTGAGGTAAAAAAAAAAAAAAAAGGCAAACTGTCGGTGAAATTCTTTCATGATGATAAAATGGAATGAAAACAATTTAAATTGAGCAATCTGCCTACAGAGGAAGTCATTTTCACATCTAGGAACTCAAGACGTTCTGCAAGAGTGAACTTGTTGCATGAAGAAGTTTGATAGCTGCAGTAGCTTACTGCCAGTTGTAATTTTCTCTTGTCTTAGAAAGAGTATCTCATCATCATCATCATCAGCCCCAAGTACTACGAGACGGTGACCGCTTCCCCTGCTGGCCTGGAGAGCGACGAGAGGACCTACAACACGGTTTACATACATAAACAGGTGAGCGACCTGAATGTGGTCCAAACGAAGACTGAAATAATCTTAACGAGAGCGAAAAACTGCGTGCTCTCATCGCCGCTGTGAAATCAAATTGTGTATGTGGTTTTCCTGTGTGTGTCACTCAGCTGCAGAATGAATTCATCCAGAATGGAAGCAAGAATTTCAGGTTCATTCCTATCCTGTTCCCCGGGGCTAAAAAGGTAATTTTTACATGTCTTCCTGAGTGAGATCATGCCACTGATTCCACCCACCACCCAGTCTCACACCCTGTTTTGTTTCTTGTTGTTTTGTTTGAATGTATAATCAGTGCCACGTCCCTAACTGGCTCCAGAACACACATGTATATGGATGGCCACGTGATCGCGATGACATCCTGCGGCGGCTGATGAGGGTCGAGAAGTACAACCCACCTCCTATCGGGGAGCTTCCGACCATAGTCTCCATCCCCATTTAAAAAAAACTCTGAGCTGGATTCACAGACTGGACTTAAATCTTATTGGCTGTTGGTCATTAAGGAGGTGGACAGAGTGATGAGGTGCTTTTGTGAACAGACAGATGTTGTGTGTTTAAATTAACATATAGAGAAGTGCCAGTGTTGGTCTGAGATAGACGTGCAGACTCAGGCTTTTTTTTATTTTTTTATATATATATCTTTGCCGTTGTGCATCATGCTGTATGTGCACTGGTGCTACTCCACCTCGTGTTTTTTGTTTGTTTTGTTTTTGTTGTTTTGTTGTTGTTTTTTAAAGGGGGTCTATTATCATTCCCAGCCCAAGATATTGTTACTCTTGGAATCGGGAGCTTTGCCTGATTCACAGATCAAAGCAATCCTTATTCACCGTACAGCTGCAGAGACCGAGGAGAGCGCAAGCCATGTTGTTTTGTTAAAGCTACAGTTTGCACATGTCGCCTGAATGCGTCGTGTGCAGGTAATCACGAAGTTGTGTTTTTGAAAAGAACACAGCTGTGAGGACACAGTCTCTGGATGTGAGTGTGCAGAACAGGCAGAACGGCGTGTGCGTGCAAAAAACAAATTAAATTTTATGTGAGAACTGTTTGAGGAAAGCTTTCGTTTTCACATCTCGAGCACCTACGTTGGGCTTAAACTGAAGGTGTGCCTCCTAGTAGTTGATGGTTACACTTGATTTATAGGACTAGTAAATTGCTCCTCAATAATGTACGCTTCACGCAGAGCACAGCAGGGAAAACGCTGATAGCAGAACAGGTTTCAACCCCAACTTTAGCACTGCTTTCACTCAGGGCCCAACAATACCAGACCCGGTTCAACCTGGTTTCACCTGGTTGAACATTGGTCAAGCTGGGCGAACAGTAGATACACGGGTTCAACAGCCTGGGATTTACTTTATGTGTATACACTGATCTCCTTGTACATGTTTATATTAAACATCTCAAACTGGAGCGATCTACAGTACTGTGCAAAAGTCTTGAGTCACTGCTCATTTTTTAAAATACATTATCACTTTTATTCTCCAACATAGCCTAAACTCTCTGAGACGAACCTTCTGGTAATTTTCTCCAGGCTTCATTCAAAGCTGTTTTTTGGATGTCGGCTGCCTTTTGTTCTGTTCTCTGTCAAGATCACACTGTTGTTGACGTCCGGGCTTCATGACTAACAGTGTTGCGTGTTGTTTGTTTTTTTGTCTTTTCTGTCCGGATTTGCTTTTAGCAGATTGACAGTGGTCTCATACACAATGTCAATCAGAGGAAAGTATTGGATGGTGGATCAAAACCTGATGGTACTTTCAGCATTCCTAAGACCATGAATTTTGACAAGATTCCCCACCATGTTTTACAGATGACCGCTATTGGCCTCCTGATCTCATCCTTATGGACTGACCGTGATTTAAACCAAAAATTTTCCAATTTGAATTTGTTACCACTGATTCTTCGCTCCAGTTCTCGCGTAATTTCGCATACTTCTTTTTCCCCTTCCTTACAAATGGCTTCTTCACAGCCTTTCACTGAGACCACTTCTGATGAGGGAATCACCTTGTTGATGTAAACTTACTATTTTATGTCTATCAAACTGTGTTAGCTTTGGCTTTTTTCATATAATAAACAAAAGACACGGAAATACAGCATCCAACTGGCAGACTTGCAAAAGCACCAAGAGATACAATTTAAAAAGAACTTCTTTGCAAAGTTGTATTATGTAAAAACACAACACTGGTTCATCCCTTGAGTTAGGTGCCTTTTTTGTGCTCTGGTGATAAGTAGGTGACTGAGTGGCTTAACTAACAAAAGAAGTTCCTCTGAAAATGGACAGGTACGGGGACTGGGCTGAAAGCTCAAGTCTACTTAAAGTCTGGCTCCCTGGATGTGAAGAAATGAAGTGTGGCTCAGGCCTTTTACACAGTACTGCAAGTGACAGAAATTTAGGCAAAACATAATAGTCCCACTTTAATTTTAAAGCCTGAAAACACAGATTCGTGAATGTTTGTTTGTTTTACTGGACATCTCCTACACGTCACTACAAACAGATGTATATGTGTTTGAGTGGAACAGCAGGGCTCTCATTTACGATGTGCAAACATTGACCCAGATACTATATTCTCTCAGCCTTTATGACCTATTACAGGTGCCTGTTCATTTTGAACAGCTGCTCAACTGGACGCATAACAACAGTGGTTTGTCATCGTGTTTTCTTATATTGTGTGTGGTTCGTATTGTTTAAAGAGAATGCAGGTGTGGGTAAAAATGGTTTGTGGCTTTTGTATTTGCATTTATACCTCTCTGTAAGCTGCACCTGAATTAATTTTCTCTAACCCACTTTTGTTAATTTATGTTCCAACTAAGTTATTCTTAAAAAGTTTTAGCAATTATTTTTTTCTGTATGAGCGTTAAAGTGTGTTGTCGTCCCCCCTTTTAGCATCTAACCTTTTGTACTGAATACAACAAAAAGAGCAGGGGGGGTAATCTGGTGTTTTTCATGTTCCTTCTGCATTGGAAACTATTCTCAGGGGATCCTTGATGCTATGTTACAATAAAAGTATTGAATGACTGAAAAGTGTGTTGGCCCACATCAGACTTGCCCCCGAGCTGTCCTCTGAAAAATGCACAAGCGTTTGTAAAATTGGCCCCAAAAAATACAGACAAGCAGAGGCACGCTCCTGGGCTTCGTGGGGCCTCTACAAAAAGCAAGATGAATTTGTCAGTTTAGAGACGAACCATGAGAACTTTAAGGTTTGATTGCAGATGTGTCAACACGTCGCTGCCTCTGATGCCTCCATGAGAAATCCAACTGAGTCGCTTTGTCTGCTAACGAAACCTCAGAAGCGGCGCTGCAGTCGAATTACATCTGCTGCCTCTCCTTGCGTTATGAAAAAACTTCAACAGGATGTTGTATAAAGATAATTAGCTGACACAGCTGCCTGCTTCGACTGTGGTACGGTTTCTCAAGAATCTGCAAATTTAGACTCAAATGGGTCATCGGAGGTTGGCTGTGGTTAGAGAAAAATCTTGTGTAATGCTGTGACACATTTAAAGAAAGCGCCTGCGTGTGCAGAATATGACACCACCTCCATCCTCGCACAGGTTGAATAAATACATTAAAATCCTGCTTTTTGCACAACTGATTACAAGCGAGATACAGATTAATGGTTTTATCTTCACAAGAGGTAACACTGCAGATGTTCATACATTAAGAAAAGAAATCTGAATACAGTGTTTCATATATTCATCCATATATTGAAAAGTACATGAAATAATATTAATTTTAATAACAATAAAAGGACAATGACATCTGTAACAAAAGTGGATTACAAAGTGACTTTTTATGCAAATAACTCTTAAGAATTAGGAGACAAATCAGACAATAATTCAATTTTACTGTATGTAAAAACACTGAAGTGCTATTTGTTCAAAGCTACAAAATACACTTAAAAAAAGCAGGAAGAGTTCTTTTTTATTTCCTTCAAGGAAAAGTACTATAAAATAAGTTACAGTACAGTGAATTTGTTCAAACTGACTTTTGTTCCCGTCTTCCAGCCTTTTGTAAGCACAAACAGAAGATAGTCATACAGGAGCAGAGAGGGAGATTGTTCGAAAGTCACTTTCCTCAAAAAAGAAACGAGCAGCCGCGCTGTCGTCGATAACTGTGCATCTTTAATGTGTTTGTGTTTACAATAATCACACAAATGTTTCTGAAAATGTGAAACCTTTGAGCTTTGAGTCTTCATAGTCTGCTGGTCACGTCGCCTGTGGCCTTAGAAGAAATCTTGGTACTTCATGAGCTCAAAAAAAAAAAAAAAAAAAAGCAAAAAAAAAAAAAAGGCACAAATACTTCATGTTTAGTCACATAACACAGAGACGAGCTCTCATACATCGTCAGCCGGCAAAGGAGGTATGTTGAACCTTGGTCTTGTGAAAAAAGCCATCTTCTCTCTGCAGGCAAAGAAGACGACTTGTTATAATTAATACGCCGTTTTTAGTAAAAGCTTCCTAATCAGCAGTGATCTTGTGAACTCTCTTTGGCGTTTGACTTTTAAATCAGTGTAGACAAAAGTTCTGTCGTTTTGTGTTTCGTACACTTTGCTGCTTTGACCGTAGATTTTCGGTCAGTTTTGCACAATGTGTCATTTTTGCATTGTGACATTGTGCTGTGTAAGGCTGGAAAAATGCACACATGGTCACCAAATTGGTCCTGAATTGATGGATATTTTTAGTTAGTCCTTAAAAAGCAGGTGGACCAGCGACTTGGAGTGCTGATAAAGCAGGAATGGATCGTCGCTGATCAGTTAGGTCTAGACGTTGATGTCCAATGTGTCAGAGATTTGCAGACGTTATGAATGAAGAAGAAAGATCAGTCTTTGCATGAACTTGACTTATTTGCCAGTAAAAGTTTTAGAAATTATTTTCCTGCTACTTGTCACATTTCTGATTATTTAAATCTTAAAGAATTTAATTTAGTGGAACCCACTGTTTGGGCCTGCCATGACTTTCTTCTGATGGAAATAACCACAAATGTAACATTATGTAAGGTTCCCGATTTAAACTATGGATATGTGATATGAATAAAGTAGGAGCTCTGTAGATCTTAAGTTTCTAAACAACAGTCCTCTTCCACGATATCTTTCTTCAGAACACGAGGAAGGAATAGATGCCAAGCTAAATTTAAGACTTCTTCTGGGGTCAGCGGGTGTTCATAGCATACAGCTGAAACAGATTTTAGCTGACTTATATATCACATCAGTTTAACCTGAAGTGCAGCCTCTGCTGACAGGCACAGTAATTTTCCTGGACTTCGGTGCCGTGACTAACAATGTGAAAACTGATCAGTGCATTTCTCACCTGAACGTCTGCACCGGCAGCGGCTCCTTCTGGCTCTGCCCTCTCATCTGTAGAACCTCCTTAGAGGCCTTCCTCAGCCTCCTCTCTGCCGCCTCTTCCTGACGTTGCTCCTGCTTGCTTTGGTTGGCCTGTAAAGCAGCAAAAACTGTCAAACGCTGCTGGGAGAGGCGTATTTGTAAGGGAGCTGCAGCCCACTCGGTTTCCTCACCTGTCTCTGGGCCTCTCTGAGCAGGCATCGAAAGCGCTCGTCCCTCAGCGCCCAGTTGGGGAGCTCGGTGGCCTCCCTGGTCTGCGGCTCCTCCAGTCGCAGCTTCAGCTCTCTCAGGGCGCTCAGCTCCTCCATCAGCTGCCTCTGACGGGTCCTGCAGGCCTGGAGATCCAGCTCCAGGTCCAGGGAGGTGCGCGTCGGCTGCTCGGCCAGGGGGGAGCGGTACGACTGCTGCTCACACACAGACAACTCAGGTAAACGACAAAAAAACCCCGTACAGGCACAGGGTGAAAGAGACATAATGAGGACGTACCTGCTTATATCGCAGTGTTCTTCTTTCCAATGTGTTTCTAACAAAAGGCGACTTCTTTGGTAGAGTTGAGCTGTCACTGTCACTGCGATACAGCTGAAAGAAACAATAACATCCACTTTAAGGCCACAGCTCACCCTAAAATACATGTTTCCACTGCCCCATGGTGCCAAATAATCCAGCTAGATTATTTTAGTGCAAGTTGCCTTATTTTAAAGTGAGCCACACTTAGTAATGTGCAAAACTCTTGAGCTGACCCTAATTTCTTTACATTTTGTTATGAATATGGAAAATATGGCAGTGATTTATTTCATGTTTAAACTGGCCCAAATGTTTTAGTTAATTACAGACAAGTGGAGACACGGACTTCCCTGCAAGGCTTTGCGCACCAAAAACGGTTTGAACAATTCTAATTAGCTTGAATGTCAATATTTGGTGCGACCACCTTTATCCTTTAACACAGCCTGGACTCTCTCAGACGAGCCTTCTTTAAGTAGTGTTCAGGAACAGTTCTCCAGGCTTTCAAGGACATTCAAAGCTCTTCTTTGGAAGAACATGATCCCACACTACTTCAGTAATGTTAAGGTCCGGGCTCTGGGGAGGCCAGTCCATTGTTGTTTCCCATCAGATGCTAAATTAATCACATCACTTCGACAAGATTCCCCAACACTGCTGACTGAAATGTAACCTCAAACTACAACAAACCATGGTTTATAGATTTTGGAATAAAATTGGATCGCTCCATAAGTACGATGGCCCTCAGTGATGCCTGTAATTTGGAACACCTCAGCCTTTGCTCCCTGTTTCCCTTCCTTAAGAATGGCTACTTGACAGCCACTCTTCCACTGAGACCACATCTGATGAGGCTTCAGGGCCAAATGTATCTCTCAGGTCCTGTGCCTGTCCTATTTCTTTCTTTTATACACTGATGTATTTTAGGACTGCCATTTCCACTTCAGCTTCAGGTCCAATTCAATTCAATTTATTTATATAGCACCAAATCACAACAACAGTCGCCTCAAGGCGCTTTATATAGTAAGGTAGACCCTACAATAATACCTTCAGAGGAAAAAAAACCCAACAACCATATGACCCCCTATGAGCAAGCTATTTGGCGACAGTGGGAAGGAAAAACTCTCTTTTAACAGGAAGAAACCTCCGGCAGAACCAGGCTCAGGGAGGGGCGGGGCCATCTGCTGCGACTGGTTGGCGTGAGAGAAGGAAGACAATGCCATTTCCACTTTATGGACACTTTGCACAGTATTCCAAAAATTTTCAGCTTATTCCTCGTTCTATACTATTTTATGCAAATATATTGTCTTTGGCATTTTTCATTTATTCAATTAGTTTTTCATAGATTTAAGATGCATTTGGTTCTTTACCAAGTCGTGTGTTACATGTAAACACAACACTGCTTCGTACTTTGAATTAAGGGCCTTTTTTATGGTTGAATGATTCATAGATAAGAGTTAAGTGTGGCACAAAGGACTAAAAATCATTCGTCTCACAAAAAATGTGAGACACTCATTCATGTTTCTTTCCACAAATTATGACCCAGTTAGTCTAAAAACACAAACCTGTTACCGCACTACACCCACCGATCTTAGCGCTGCATACGAAAGCACAAATCTACACAGGATGTAAACACTTAAAGTCGTCCCCTCACAGCTGAGCAGAAACTAGCTGTGCACTTCTTTTGGTTGGCAAATGTAGACAGTAGAGAGAAATTAGTTCCGACATGAAACTGCTCACAACAGCGTTTGTGGATTTTATTTGGGTATTTTAGTAACTAGGTCATGATTTCTGGAAAGAGACACAGCTGTCAGATGATGTTTTTGAGCTATATATATTAAGATAAAGGAGACACCTCCACAGCTGATGGGCAACTCAAACCAAACAATACTGTATAAATGTTCCTGGAGGTGGGCGGGGCGCGGGCGGGTGGCAGAAAGTCATAATTATGGTTGACAAGGTTGAATGTTGTCTGTTTAACTTGCTGTAAAACAGTTAATTACATTCAAGAATGAGCTCGTTTGAACATTTTAAATACTTAAAATGAGGGGGCGCTTTCCTGCACATTGTCTGCACATTAATCGTGCACGGCCTTTTCATCCAGATGGATATACAGCATGACAGGAAAGAAAGATGAGAATTACACTACACATCTTATATTCGTATCTATATGCTGTCACTTTTATAATAAAATAAAATACTCACCCTGCACACGTACTGATTCCGAGCGCCCGGTGAGAAGGTCTGGGAGCGAACGATGGTGCTACCACGCATGAACGGCGAGGCGTGACCCCAGCGGCCTCCCCGCTCTTTAGGTCGGACTCGCACCGGCTCCGGGAACATGCCTTCTGTCATGGTCGCCTTTTCTACCTACAAAAAAATGTATGAACAGAACTTTTAATGCCAGATTTTCCCCCCCCAATAAGAATCTCCTCACTACCAAAGCGTCACCTCGTACCTTGATTGTTGAGGGTTTGCAGACTGTCTGGTCACAGCGTCCTCCGGTGGTGATGCAGATTCCCTCTGCACACAGGCCCTCTGAGCAGGGAGCGGCGAATGCAATGCTGTTGCTGCAGCCGCTGTCCACTGACTCCGCCTGCCAACTCCTGAAAAATGCACCATCCCCATAAAGGTACAAACATGACAGGGGCCAAAACGATGTATTTATTTGTCAAAGCAAAATCTAGCCTAAGAGGAGGATAATGTCACCTTTCCGACGCTGCCTCCCCAGGCTCGTCCTTCTTCTCCCGCTCCTCCAGGTGGGTGGGGGTGTTGCGTGACAGCAGATTGCATGCAGTGTCCTGTAACATCACATTTTAATCCCTCAAAAAAGATCTTCAGTCTTTCATCACTCCCCTCCCTCTGACTGCTGAGGCTGGCGCATGCAGGCTGACTTGGCTTCTGACACACATTCTTGTCAATTATGCACTTGAACAAGCTACACGCCTGCAGGCCGTTGGCTACAAGCTGCTATTCAACAATGGGAATGTGAATTTATCCAAAAGAATTAGCAGGATTACAACTTC